AATGCAGCTCACTGGCCAATCTAAACCCCTTTATGAGGTCGGCGAGCAAGTACATTATGAATGTAAACCTGGATACGAGCAGCACCCTTCTTTCGCCACTTCTACTACTTGTGGTGCGGATGGCACATGGTCCTCTCTTTCGAATTATGCTTGTTCTAAAAAATCATGTCCAGTTCACCCGAATCCTATTCATGGCAAAGTAGTCGTTCCTAATGGAAGCGTGGAGCTTGATACAAAAGTTGAATTTGTTTGTGATGAGGGATTTTACTTAGTTGGTACGAAAATTCTACAATGTCAGCTTCAAGGATCGAATATGAGTTGGAGCGGGGATCCCCCACGATGCGAAAAGATTTTGTGTAAAGCGCCTCCACAAATAAAAAATGGGAGATACGCCCCAGCAGACAAGAATGAATATGAATTTTCTAAAGTAATATCTTATAGTTGCGATAACCGTTTTGAAGGAGACAATCTTACACTTGTTGGAGCGAGCCTTCTTCGTTGTACTGAGAATGGAAACTGGAGTAGTGACGCTCCTCAGTGTAAAGTGGTCAAATGCTCACAACCAAACGTTCCAAATGGGAGACAGATATCAGAAATGGCAGAAGAATATGGCTACAATGCAATGGTTAAGTTTGAATGTGTGAAGGGTTTTTCCCTTCATGGAAGCCCCGTGGTTGTCTGTGGTGGTGATAGTGCTTGGGAGCCCCCAGTTCCATCATGTTCTTTAATCATACCTGTTTTCAGTAAAGTTAGATATCCTACCATGGCAAAACCTCGAATTGCTTCAGGAATACCTCGTCAAAATGAAGGATCACTTACTTGTAAGGCTTTGGATGAATGGATCCTTGCTTTGACTTTTATAACTCTGTTGGAGTTACAATAATTGACATCTGAGGATACAAATGTCATCAAAGCAGGAAGAAAAGGAAAACAGAACCAAGCACCCCAACAGAACAATGGTTTCCACAAACGGGTTTTCAAGTTTTTTGGAATTMTATTAAAATCCTCAGCTCTAAAATAGTTATTCTCTAGTTTTAGGCTCATAAATGCAACGCTCACGTCAAAGCTAACATTTTCATGTGGCTTAAATACACTCATCATACTTTAAAGCTTCTTGTATGTCAAGGTATGAATAGATTGCCTGTTTTCCCCTAAATAACACTTGTATTTATAGCGCAAGTCAGTGTTCTTGGGAGCATTCAGATAGGGATATTTCCTATTTTATAAAATCTGAAAATGAAATTACATTTCATGGGTAAAGAAAGTGATTTTGACTTTTTTTTATTCAAAGATTAATACAAACTTTTAAGATTACTTTCAATAACTAAAATGTATTATATACAGGGTTCATTGTAAAAAAAACCTTATGAATATGAATACACTCAGCCTTTATCCATTAACAATATGAACTCTGATAATTGAAAATATGGAAAAGTTGACCTCATTGACTATTATTAGAAACTTTTCTGAATGTTAATAGAGTAAAATTCTATTTTTTTGTAAATACTTCCAATACACCATATATATGTGTGCAAAGAAGTGTATATACATATACACTTGTACATGATGAACACAAAAAATACACATATACATGTATGTACAAATATGCAAACATACACGTACATACAGGCACACAAATACAAATACACACAATCTATACAACTTGATTTTGAAGTTTTTCCTCTTGGAGTGATGTTTCCATCACAGTTTTCTACCCTGCATGAGGTTCCATGAAATCCAAAAATAAAGGATATATATATATATATATATATATATATATATATATATATATATTCTTGAAACTAAGGATATTACCTGTCTTAAAACTCCAACCATATTCCAAATTTTTGGTGGAGTATTAAAATGAGGGAAAAAGAAAGAGAAAGATGCAGGGATAGAGAAAATTCTTTTCTATAGTGAAGATAAAAAACATATCAGAGGCCACAAATATGAAAAGTTTGCTGTTTCATGGATCCTTAAAATGTATTTAATATTATGTCTTCAAAGAGTTTATAGAGTCAACTGAAATGCTCCTTGTCATTTTAACTTAAAAAATAAACAAATTATAAATTACAGGATAATTGCAACTATCTTAAATAAAAACCTAGAAAAAAAAAACAAAAAAAATTAACAGTAATTTCCAAAAATCTCTGAGTTATATGCTATAGAAATAGTATTTATTTTAATAGTTATATATTTCTATAATTACCAATTGTAAAAATAAAATTTATATAATGCATTTGTACATGTAAAAAACTTTGTGTCCAAGTGTGCACGTACGTGTACATTGTGTGTATCAATGAACAAAAGCATGTTTAACTTAGTTTTACAAAAGACAAAGAGTAGTAATTGTTGCCCTTTGATATTTAAGGCTGGGGTCAGCACCTTGGTATACTACATCTTGTGCTCTATCCCTTGTTTCATTTTCTATTCCTGCTGATCTTAGATGCAGGCTTCTGTTAAACTAAGATATTTCCTACAAAAAGTATGTAATTCTGTCATGTCATATCAAAGACAGACATTAGGTCAAAGGCTATACTTCCAGGCATCAAATATAGTTCTCTTTTTTTATTTCTAAACCAAAAAATGATAAGTCAGAACTGAGCAACTTTCAGTAATGAGCTCTCCTTACCAAGCAATACTGAACAATTCTCTCAAGGTACATGTTTGAGCTACTTGTTTATTTTGACCTGGATTGGAATCCAGAAATAAGACTTTGTCTGTACAGGTTAGAGTTTTTTTCTTTTTCCTCTCTAAATTCAGGAACAATTTATTGTCTCTCCAGAATTATTCAATATGGAGGCTCTAGAGGATTTTGAAATATCCAGGATCTCTAAACACAAGGGTGAATCTGATTGGTATTTAACACCAGAAGAAAGAGGAAGTTCTWCTTACTTTCTGCAGCCACAGCCCTCCATTAGAACAGCAAGAAACCTCAAGTACCACACATGTATCAGGCACATCATCTTGTCAAAAGATGGCCAATGTCTCATGTTTCTTATGACTCATGTAGGCTGTAGTATTCAATTGGTCCTAACAAAATATCTCATAGGTAGTCACATTAATTGAAGCACAAAGGAAAGAGGAAGAAAAAGAGATAGAAAGAAACCATATAAAGTAAAAAGGAAGAGAAAGAAATCCCATAACTACAATTGTAATATTTTTCCAAAGCGTAAAATCAATTAAAGCACATTTTTATGCTCTTTATTTGAATTTTTTTGGCATCATCCTCCAGACATTCTGGAAACCATGTCAGATTTTGTAAAGAACACGGAGTATTTTAATTCTTTAAAGAATTTTTTATTTGTTTTAATTAGTTACACATGACAGTACGATGATCTTGACATATCATACATTTGAATCAGATGGGATACAATTTCTCACTTTTCTGAGTGTATAGGTTGCAGAATCATATTGGTCATGCAGTCACATATATACACACAGTAATAATAATGTCTGTTTCATCCTACTATCCCTCCTATCTCCCACCCCCCTCCCCTCCCCTCCCATCACTTCTTTCTATCTTATCTAAGATAATGCTATTCTTTTGTTTTTGTTGTTTCCTCACATCTTCATACATGTATTTTGTATGACAATGAGGGTCTCCTTCCCTTTCCCTCCCACCTCTCTTCCCTATGTAGAGGTAATCTTCTTCCCATGCTCTTCCTCCCTACCCCATTTTGAGTCACCTCCCTTATATCAAAGAAGACATTTGGCATTTGTTTTTTTGGGATTGGCTAGCTTCACTTAGCATAATTCTGCTCTAATTCCATCCATTTCCCTGCAAATGCGATGATCTTATTTTAATTCTTGATAAAGAGAACATTTCTCCTAAGAGGACTCAAGAGCTATAAACAGAAGCGTTAGTGAAGGTACTTCTGTCTTCCTTGAGCACCAGTGTTGGAATGGCTCATATTTTCATATGCTTTTGAGATTTGTTTCTCCACTGGAGACCAAGAATTTGTTTGTCCAAWGTGTCTATTCATGCTTCTCACAGTTACTTCCTTATAAAGCTTAAATTACAGGACTTTACAGAATTGATGTCATTCTTAAAAGAAGGCACCTGTCCCACAATAAAAGAATATCRTGGTTGATTTACATTTCCGTGCAACTCTTTGTAAATTTTGCTATTTTCATTGTACATATAATCAACCTCATTTACAGCTCACATTAATAAATTCTAGTTTGTCAGAAAATATTTAATTGAATAACAATGTTATAAAAACATTTTTTGTTCTAATTAGTTATACATGAGAGTAGAATGCATTTTGACACATATTACATAAATGGAGTATAACTTCTCATTCTTCTGGTTGTATATGATGTAGAATCATACTGGTCATGTAATGATATATGTACATAGAGTAACAATGTCTGATTCTTTCTACTATCCTTCCTACCCCTTTTAAATGAATTACCAATAACTATGTCATTTGGGTACCTTTTATTGGAACACTGTAACTTCAAGTTACAGAAATGTATCATATAGCACCTAAATATTTGATATCTCTGTGGATTAAAGTATATTTGTAAGGGAATGTTGCTTCCAGTGCTTCAAAATGATTGCTAGCTCAATGCTGAAACATCAATTTTAAAAGCTAATGTATTTAAGTGGGCAGGAATCCACAGATGAGCCATAAAATGTATTGACACAAAGGAACACAGAACTTATAGTTTAAATGAGAGGGATAAAACTATAAGGAGGAAAGGAATGAAGGGTTAAAAAAAAAAGAACACATGACAAGCTGAGAGAAATGCTCTGAATCAAGGAAGACAAAATTGCCCACTATAAAAGTAGGCTGTGCTCCCGTGGATACTCCTCAGCATTCAGATGGGTTTTATGACTGTTGCTTCATTTCTAATATCACTACATTATTTCTCATTGTAAACTTTATTGCCATGCTTAATAATCTACATGTCTCTCTTTTTAAGGCTAAAAATCTCAATGTATATGAGTGTATGTGYATATACATATATTACAATCTATTCATACAGTGAGAGCATATACACCCGCCCCCACACACATATACAGATAAACTTAATAAAGAGAAAGGTGAATAATAATATAATGCAATGGAATTGTTCGAAAATTTTGAGGAAAATATTAAAATTCTAAAACTAAAAAAAATAAGTATATGGAAGAAAAAAAAATGAAAAAAGAAAACTATCTTAAGGAGAGATAGAGGCTTGTTTCCACTACTGTGGTCAACATGTCCGCAGGGATGAATTTTCAGTTTGTATATTTGTTTTTGACTCTGTAATTTTGACCACTGTCTTTGTGTTTATTTCTCATCTACCTACCAGCTGGATATAGTAGCTCACATATTTAAATCTCCCAGTTTTGGGTGGGGTAGACTGGGGTGCTGATGAACTACAGAATCCTGTAGTGGGATAATGCAGAGTTCTATATTGGAATTTCCAGTTGTTGGGATTTAGACATTGATGAGTTTCAGAACACTGTTTGTGGGTTTTGAGTTTGGGGCCATTTCCCCTATTAGTGTGGAGCTTCCTGTCCCTGGATTTCAGTGGGCTTCTGGGGTGTCCAGAAAAATCCACTTTTAGGGCATAGGGACTAAGCCTCCACAGATTTCACCTTTACCATTATGGATGTGAATTACTAAGTATCTAAGAATGCAGATGGGCTTATATGGCCACAGCAAGCATCTTCACCATAKTGCTTATGGGGTGCCAGCTATTATGAATTTTTTTTCCTTGGAATGCAGAGCCTGAAAGGCCCAGGTAAAATGTTCTTTGTGCCCATTTCAATTTCTTTGCCCCAAACACCCTCTGGGGATTATTTCCTCAATTCTGGTTTTTGACTTCCCAATCCCCTGAACCTGTTCACTGCTGCATGAGTTACAAGGTGACAGCTTTCAGGGCCTG